TTTGAAATGGATGTTCTGAAAAAGGTCTCTCTGAGAAAACTTATCCTGAAACGAATTGTTAAGTTTATTCCCCTTTTCAACTAACCAATAGTTTTGATAACAGCGATTTTTTGAAAGCCAAATATGGGACCATCGACATTTTCCTGCCTTAAATTCAATAGATTTTTTTTTATAAAAAAGTGCCCTTATGTGTAAAAGCCTAAAGGTTTTATTAAAAACCTAATTTTCTATGATTGTCATTTCCAACTTAGCCTAATTTAAAAAAAAAGATTCCCTAAAGTTAAGTCATTTGTCCCCTCGAAATCAGCATGCGATCCCTTGCAATGAACCCATACCTTTAAAGACCTGACATTTTTGCACATTTCCAAGTGCCGCTTAAAATGCTATGCGATGCTGTATTATTATTAAAAGAAAGTCAAGTGGACAAGAGTTGGAAAAAATACCCATGTTTGAGCGGCAAGGCAACTACAAGAGTGCCGGCCTGCTGCTGCTGCTGCAACAGCAGGGAAGAAGAAATAAAAACGAGAAAACATCTCGTCATCGTAATCGCCATCCTCATCTTTACGGTTGTCGTATATATCAATGGGCGCATGCGCCCATTGATCTTTTCTTTGGCGGTAAACAGTAGCTGCTATCGCTGTCGGCTGAATGGCTGGCTGGCTGGTTGGATGGTTGGCTGACTGGATGTACGATCATCGGTCGGTGGCTTTTGGAAGAAGGTTAGTTAGGTTGTGTCGAACTGAATGGCCGGCTGGCTGGCTGGCCGGTTGGTTGGTTGCCGGGGCTAAATGGCGGCCAGCTTGAATTGGAGTGTCTGTGGAGTGTTGTTTTCCTCTTGGATATTTTGTTGTTCCCGCCGCTGTAGCTGTTGTTGTTGCATCCATACCATCATAATTTTTTGTTGCCTACATCTTCTTGCCTTTTTGGCTTTAACCTTTTTTTTGTGGGCTTTTATGCAGACATAAAATCGTCCAACGAGACAAATAAACTTCAACATCAAGACTTGGCGATATGCTTGGACGTTTGTCTGACTTTCAGCGCAAGCGACGAGTTTTTGTTGTTATTCTTATTATTATGGCTTTGACTTGGTTTATGAGGACTTGGTGGCTGGCTGGCTGGCTGGTTGGACTTACGGCCTGCCTGCCTGCCTGCCATCATCCTTAGGTATTTTGGATGTCTGTCTCTGGCCGGTCGGCCGGCTGGTTGGCTGCTGTGTGATGAGGGTTCTTGCCAACCTTGTTGCATTATTCTTCTCCATTTCTTTTTTTTTCCTTCGCTTAGCATTTTGAATATGGCATACTTTGTTGTTGTTATCAGTATTGTTTTGAGGTTATTGCTGCGGCTTCCACTTTGTATTTAGCCGGTCATTTGATTTGTTGTTGTTGGTGCTGTTGTTGCATTGCCGCCAACTTGAGTTGTTTATAATAAAGTTGCACGCAAAATATTTAGTATGCGCGGATTCCTTTAAATTGATTATAATTTAAGGGATTTGCTACCTAATTTCTTGTTGTTGTTGCCGCTGTAGTTGTTATGGCTTTACGAGATAATATCATTGCAATGTTGTTGTTGTTGTTGCTGCTGCTGCTGTTTTTGTCTTTGCCAAGGAAATCTATACACAAATTGTGGTTTTCTCTCAACGATTGACCAGCCAACCAGCCAGCCAGTAATCAAGTTAAGTCCAAACAAGCAACAACCACTTGCCTTCAATCTTTACAACGCTCTATATAGCCAGCAGATAGCTGGGTTGTCTAGCAAATACCCCCGCCACCCCTACCAACACACTATCCCAACTAAATCGTTGGCTTTGATTTTTTCGCCGTACTTTTTTTTCTTCAAAGTTATTGACGTTGGCGGCGTTATTCAAAGCCTTTGAAGCAGAAAACCCGCTCGCTCAAGCTATCTATCTATGAAAAACTATTGATGCCTATAAGCTTTTTAATAATAGTTTCAAATTAAGTTGTCTATATTTATATTCATAAATTCCATGACAGCTGAAATATGAGCGTAATTGAATGGCAACAACCGCAGCAGCAGTAGTTCTATTGCGGTTGGCGTTTTGGTTTTTTTTGTTTTTTGTGAAATAGAGAAATAAAATACAACAAACGTTTTTGAAAAATTTGATATATGACCAGCAATTATGATAGCAAGCAATTTTATAGTTCGATTAACTAATGTGACAAAGATATGATGAAGATATTTGGCGATTAAATCAAGGGGGGGTGGATAGATCTCAGTTTTCAATTTTCGTTTGAAAATAAATTATGAATGGATATATTTAATTAAAATGTTATGGTCCATTTGGTTTTTTCAAATCCTAGGCAACAATGCAAAGAGGGAAATTGGCGGAAGTCTCAGATTTAAACGTTTGGCATGGTTCACTTGACCTAAAAATTGTTGTCCGATTGTTATGCAATTTTGGGTAAAGGAGCTTTTCACTTTAGGTGCAGAATTTGCCAAAATAAATTTTCGTTCTCTATCGCGCTGTCTCTCAGCAAGAAATTGTACTCCATGCCGAAATTATTCGATTTTGAGGCTCAAAATCGAAGAAACCCATCTTCCCTTGATTTGATTTAAAAGAATTTGAATATTACGACTTACGTAGGTATTCGTACATAGACCTTCGATTAATCGACTTTTGGAATTGGAGAGTCTAAAATCGATTTTCAAGTCAACAATAGATCTTGTCATTTGTCTGGCAGAAATGCACCTTAAAAATATAAAATTGAAAGGATCTTTATCGACTTCTTTTAAAAAACCAAAGGCAAAAATCCACTTTTAGCTAACTGCACAAAATCGAAAACTCGACTTTTTTGTTGACTTCAATTTAAAAAAATATTTGCTTTCACTGCTTCTTTGTAGCCATTAAATATTCGAAAATTCGCCATTACCCATCGTTTGCAATACTCTTTTTCAGGAAACATAATTGTTTTCTCTTACTTCTTTGTGACAATTAAGTTTTTAAAATTAAATTTAAAAATATTATTTTTATATATATATTTTCAGAAATCATCCTCCCTCATCAATTCTCGATTGGAAAGTGGAAAACTATAATCACATTTTGGTAAGTGGTCTTTTAAAACTAGATTTTCTAAAGCTGACAAGCTCAAAAGCGATATTCCGTCCACTAAGTTGGAAACGTAATTCACCATCGACATACAAAATAATATTTAAATTACAAGCAAATTGGGTTCATCCCTACTCATAATATTTTCAAGTCCTTCTGTTCTGTTTTAGAAATCCAGAGGTCCTAAAATTATTACTCTGCGAGTTCTTTTTTCTCAAGACCACACCATTTCCACCAGCCCTGTTTCAAAATTCCTATCAATTGTCTTTTCTCCAGCTCTAACATAGATGAATTTGTGGTTTGACTCACATCCGTCTTGACCAAGCATTGATCCTCTTATGTCTAAACCACTGTTCTGCCATTTTTACACATATCCACACAACTGCCAAGGAGTTTAGGAGCACTGAAATTTGCTTCAAAAATAAAATTTGGTACAGATTAAATCGAACTCCTCACCTTATCTGTTAGTATAAATCAGGATACTGCACACCCACTTTCTAAGCGTTTAACAATTTCAGTAATCCGTAAATTCGGATTTTGTTGATTCGCTCTCCTCCAGCTCTATTGTAGATTACTCAGTTTACGTGGCACCCAATACTTTTCCTTCTGCTTCTTCTTGGCTAAATATTAAACCTAACTTATCTAAACTCGAAGTCACTGCTCTGCGATATCACTCAAATGGCAAGTCCATCAGATCTGTTGAAGAATTTCAGTCCTTCTTCTTGTTAATTCTCCCTTCATCTTATCATCGGCAAATTACGGTAAGTAGTCCCCTATACTTCCGTCCTGACAAAATATTAATCCTTTCATATGAAAACACGAAGCTGTAATACTTCTTTTCAGCGCTTTCATAAAGTGGCGCCCAATACTTCTCTTATGTCTAAACTTGAATCATGTCTAAACATGAAGTCACTGCGCTCCTATTTTCAATAAATTTGCATTTATCTAGCTGCAGATTCCAATCAGTGCAATACACAACAAATGGCAAGTCCTCCTTAAGTAAAGATCTTGTCAATTTTCTGGCCTCCAGACCTTTCAAGGACAACTCTGCTTGAGTGGCGTTCAATACTTAAGTCCCGACAAAATATTTATCCTCATGGCTAAACATAATGTCGGGAACACTTCGTATCCTACAAAAATTTAACTCTTTGGGAAGATGCCACTTTTTCATTGGTCCTTCTGCCTCCTGATATCCCGTTCTGGCTATATATTTATCCTCTCATGCCTAAAAATGAAGCCAAGACATTACGCCGCCACTTTCCAACAACTATTTTTGTTTAAACTAAATATCGAACCAAAAATAAAATTTGAACGGAATCATCTGTGAATAATTGGTCAATATAAGAACTTTACTGCGCGAGTAAGACCGTATCAAATTTAAAATGTGCATTCAATTATGGGTTGAATGATCTAACGGCACAACAAACCCCGTATTTCGCATGTAAGGTGGTATCTCCGAGTTTTTCTGAAAGCTGTAGAAACCTTCCTTTTGCTGTAGCAGGTATAAAGTCAATATGTCATTTGATGTAATATTTCTCAAGTATTTTATCGAGCTCCTCACTTCAACAATGCTAGAAGCTAGGATTTTATGTCCAAAGTAACAAAGAGGATTAGATCTCCCGAAGTCGAAGAGAATTAGATCATTTGTAGAGCAAATCATTGCAGAGCCTCCGAAGAAGAAATGCTTCCAAAATACCAAGAAATATAAACAAAATCACCTAAAAATGAGTAGGTTAACAATGAAGTGTCAATCTTGCAAACTTCAGGGGTTGTTTGAATATTATTTATTTTTAAGGTGCTGCTGTAGGCATATTTGCTTAAACTTGTTCTAATTAAAATCATCTCATTTATTTTCTTTTTGACGTTTCATTGGCTTTTTTTTCCAACAAAGTCAATATTGATTTTATGACAATTAAAAAAAAATCCAAAAACTTACCTCCGAATGATTATTTTTAATCCATTTAAAAGTTTCAGGATTCATGACGTTGCAAGTATGGTCTGATATTTCATAAAATTCCTTCAAATTTGACATTTTTTCCTTAAAAATTATTCCTTTTTTTTTGCGATTTTATTTTCAAGAAATTTTCCGATTTCTTTATCTATTTGTGGTCAAAATATTTCAAACATTATCACCAATTTCACTTATTGTAATCGATTTTTTTTAACAAAGATTCTAATTATTTTTTACAATTTCTCCTCCATTTATTTTTCGCACTTCTTTTTGGCTGGACAAATTTGATTTTTTTCTCCTTTGAAGTTGTTTTTTCAGATTTTTCACTCACTTTTCTTCTTTACATTGCAAATGAGTTGACGTTTTTTTTTTTTTCTTATTTTTTGCTTTGTTTGAAAGTAGATCAATTAACACTTTAACATCAAACGATTTATTTTCCGTTACCGCGAAGCTAATACGATGCGGCGAATCGAAATCGTTTTGTCTTCTTGTTTTATTTTGAAAATGTAACGTTTTTTGCAGAACAAATTTTTCTACCGAACACACATCCGTTCAGCTTGATCAATCGTTACGGAATGAACGACACTGGTGACTTCGTGAAGTGATCTACCAACGACGCGCGCGCTCTAAAACAAAACACAACCAAAACCCCCGAAAAAGATCAGACAAATACGAAGGCGGCGGCGGCATTGATCGGTAATCTTTTCTTTTTTGGTGGCACAGCAAGAAAAGGAAATCGACAAGGAAACCGTCACAGGTAGAGTGTTGCTCTTTTTACAACAAAAAAAACAGAGAGAGAGAGAGGGAGAGCGCTGAAGAGAGAATCGACAATTGTTGTAAGAACACGTTGGGACTGAAACGCGAGAAGAAACAACTTGGAAACGAACCAGCCACACTCATTCTCAAACAAATCTGTTGCATTGTTTACGTTTTTTCTTCGGGTTTTCCAGCAGCCATAGCAGGTCAAACGATTTGTTTAGAATGAGCGAAATAACAACAAAAATAATAATTGAACATCGAAAGAGGAATAAAGAAAATTGTAGAATCCGATTACGGTAATGTGAGTGTGTTTTGTTGATTGAGTATACTTGAGCATATATGCTCCGCATTGAGGTTTGTGGGTGGTGGTTGTAGTGCGGCGTCGTTTCAATGGGATTAGCATGTCGCATTGGACATTGCATGGGTACCTCACATTCATACATAACTGGAAAACTAAGTAGTTTAAAAGAGAGATATATAATTAATGCAAAAATGTTATTGATCGGATTAGGATACATAGTCGTACTGTAAATCCACTTTTGGATTCGCTTCTTGTCTCCCAAAAAAAATTGACTTTTCGATCTTTTGATTTTGTGAAATAAGTTAAAAATTGTGACTGCGAAATTGCCATGATTTCTAACGAAAAAATATATTCAAAATTATGTTTTTGCCTTGTTCTGATCTACTTATATCTTGTTGTATATCCTTGTGGAGTATTGTTCACACATTCCTATTTATTAATGTCTCGCTCAGTATTATTCTCGTATATCCATGTTAAGCCTTGTTTGAATACGCATTTATGTCTCTCGTCGTAGTATCCTTGCATATACTTGCTGGACATGGATTAAATACATGTCAAGGTTCTTTCCGGTAGAATTCTTATACAGGGTGAGATGAAAAAAAAAACTGCAACCAATTTCAGACTGCTGTCATTACAAAGCCACTCGTCCGACAGCTCTTAAAATTATTCCAGTGACAGCTCATATAGTTTACAAGCGTATTAAAGCATTTTGGTGAGAATTTTCCAGAAAAAAAGTGATTCGTGATGGAACTCAAGCGTGATTTCTTTATATTTGGGTGGAAAACCACCAGTGGCTACCGTTAGAGCACTCCAGCATTTAAATGTGAATAAATCTTTTGTGTCTCATACCATCGCTCGTTACCGTGATACTGGTAGCGTAGGAAGTGGACGGAAGAAATGGTTCGAAAAGTTAAGAAGCGACTTGATCGAAACACGACGCAGTGGCCGAAAAATGGCTCGTGAGCTGAACATATCGCAATATTCCATTCGGCAAATATTGAAAAATGAGCTCGGGGTAAATCCATTGAAATTTCAAAATGTACAAGAACTTACACCGCAACAGAAAGAAAATAGACTCAAAAGAGCCAAAGAGCTTCGCTTGGCCGAAAGTGGTGAACTGCCGAATTTGGTTTTTCCAAAGAGAAAGCATTCGTTGTCCAGCAGTTTGTAAACGAACCAAATGATCGTGTTGACTTGCCAAAGGGTTCAGCTGAAAATGGGCACCTTCGGTTGGCCACCAGTACTCAAGCGCCGGCCATGGTGATGGTATTGCCCGCCATAACAGCCGATGGTCGCTCTCCGCTCTATTAATCGACCATGGCATCAGAATAAATGCCGAATATTATCGCGAAAATATTCTGAAGGGTGTATTAAAGCCTTGAACATGCAAACATTTTGGCCGCAGACCTTGGACATTCCAACAGGACTCAGCACCATCGCACTCAGCACGAGCCACCCAAGAATTGTTACAAAATGAGGTTCTTCGCTTTATTTCCAGCGCACAATGGCCACCAAAATCTCTGGATACCAATCCGTTGGACTATTGTGTCTGGAGTATTTTGGAAAGTAAGGTTGGCACTAAAAAATACCAAAGTGTCGATCACCTTAAGCAGGCGTTTCGCCGGAATGGGCCAAAATAACGCAGAGCAACATTCGGACAGCGAGTGACGGTTTCATTGGCCGTTTCAAAGCCATAATTCGTGCCAAAAGTGAACAATTCGAACAAATCTAAACTTAGTCTAAAATGTGATTCTATTTCCGACATTTTTTTTGTTTTCATTCAATAATATTTAAAAAATTTAAAAATTATGGCGTTTGACTTGACTTTAACTGTGTCATTACGTTTGTAACATCCCTAAATATTCGTCGTAGATAAAGAATATATTCATAATCAGCGTGAAATTCTAATTCGATTTAATTCAATGACCATCTGTCTGTATTGTGTCTAGGATGTTTGGTATTGAAAATGAGATATATCTGTACCTCCCGATATTCGGTATTTTGACGATTTTTGCCACATTTTTCTACAGATTTGTCTAATAATTGGTATTTGTTGGTCAAAATGATTTCACAATCTGGTGGCAAAACAATGCATATATATTTCCACGTTTTTATATGGCACCTTTATAACGGGACCTCCCGATATAACAGTATCTCCTGATAGTCGATGTTTTGATGATTTTCGGCCCATTTTTCTATGGTTTTGTCCAAAAATGCGTATTTGAAGTTCGTATTGGGTTCCAGCTCCGGTGGCGGAACATTGTACATACGTTTTCATATAGCTCCCATATAACGGTATCTACCGATATTCGGTGTTTTGGTGATGTTTGTCACATTTTTATCTATACATTGGTATTTGTAGTTCATATTGGGTTCTAGCTCCGGTGGCAGAACATTCAATATTTTTTCTATAGCGCACATTTAACGGTTCCAACCGCTACTCGGTATTTTGATAGTCCTAGTCACATTTACCCCCGATTTTTTTTCAAATTTGCTATTGAAGAAGATTTGGTAGATAACAATCCTTGAAGTATAAAATTGTTTGGAATGAACTCTAGACAACAGCCTCACTTTATGGTTTTTTGAAAATTTAACAGCATAATCCCAACGATCTTACTGGCATTTGAAGTCTAAAGTGAAACAGTTCTTAATTCAGGTACTTTTATAGAAAAAAGGGTACCCAATGGTGGAGGGTATTAAAAGTTCGGTCCGACCGAACTTAATGTGTTTTACTTGTTTATAGCTTCATATAATATGACCACCCGATTTATGAAATTGAATATTGTGATTGTATTGCAATGGAATGGAACGGAATTTTTTGAAAATGTAGAGGTTGTAAGTACAGCGGGCAGAAAACATAAAAGAACTGTCTATATATATTCCCCATATAACGGTACCACCTGATATTCGTTATTCGGATTATATTAGTCATATTTTTGAGGAAATTTTTTTTAAACGGAATTTGGAGTTGATTGTTGGTACGGACTCTTCGTGAAGAAAATTTACTTTACAGGTTCAGGTTTTGGTGTAATCCTCATATAACTGTTCTTCCTGATTTACGTTGTTGTGGATTTTAAGATTGTTGTGATTAAGCCACTTTTTTGAAATTTCGTACCACAAGTTCCTAATATCCGATATAACATGATAAGAGGATATTAAAATTTTGGACTTGCTGAACCTTACTGTTTGTTATACCCTCCACCTTGGAAATGAGGGTATGTTAACTTTGTCATTCCGTTTGTAACATCCTTAAATATTCGTCGTAGACCCCACAAAGTATATATATTCATAATCAGCATAAAATTCTAAGTCGATTTAACGATATCCGTCTGTCCGTCTGTCTGTCTGTCTGTTGAAATCACGATACAGTCCACATTATTTAACGTAGAGCGCCAAAATTTAGCAGGGCAATTTGTATTGTGTCTAGGATGGTTGGTATTGAAAATACATCGGTCCACGTTCTGGTATAGTCCCCATATAACGGTACCTCTCGATATTCGGTATTTTGATGATTTATGCCACATTTTTCACGGATTTGTCGGAAAATTTGTAGGTCATAACGGGTCCCTGTACGTGTGGCAAAATATTGCATGTATAGGTCCACGTTTTGGTATAGCCCCCATATAAAGGTACCTCCCGATATTCGAAATTTTAATTTTTTTTGCCACATTTTTTCACGGATTTGTTTAAAAATTGGTATTTGTTGGTCATAATGGGTTCCAGCTCCGGTGGCGAAACATTGAATGTATGGGTCCATATAACGGTACCTCCCGATATTCGGTATTTTGATGGTTTTTGCCACCTCTTTTCACTGATTTGTCTAAAAATTGGTATTTGTAGGTCATAATGGGTCCTAGTTCGTGTGGCGAAACATTGTATGTATAGGTCCACGTTTTGATATAGTCCCCATATAACGGTACCTCCCAATATTCGGTATTTTGATGATTTTTGACACATTTTTTCAAGAATTTCTCTGAAAATTGGTAGTTGTAGATCATAATCTCAGTTCGTTTGCCGAGTCATTGTAATTATAGGTCAACGTTTTGGTATAGCCCCCATATAACGGTACCTCCCGATATTCGGTAATTTGATGATTTTTGCCACATTTTTTCACGGATTTGTCTGAAAATTGTTATTTGTAGGTCATAATGGGTTCTACCTCCTTTGGCGAAATATTGCATGTGTAGGTCCACGATTTGGTATAGCCCCCATATAACGGTACAACCCGATATTCGGCATTTTAATGGTTTTTGCGACATTTCTTCTAATGTTTCCTTTACCCTAAGGTGGAGGGTATTAAAAGTTAGGCCCGGCCGAACTTAATGTTTTTTATTTTTTATTGTTTGTTTTCTCTTTCGAGACGAGCTTAATGATCTGAAATTTGCAGTGAAAAGGAAAGCCAGATAGACACTATCACACACTCACCACTATGCGACGCGTTTCGCCGTTGGTTAAGCGGCTCATCAGGCATATTTGGTGTGGATGATGGCTTACAAGGGCCGTTCTCTGGAAAGTAGTATATATTTCGAACTTATTGCAAATTAGCATATGCGAATTATACACTAGAAACTCTCCAGGTTCGACTCAAGTTCTATTGGCAGATCTTTTTCACCGC